TCGTACAATTTGGTCGCATCTATGTCATTTTTTTCCCCCTGGTTCAGCCACACACTCAGAATGTACGGAATTTGGGATAGAAAATTACCGTGCTCACAGAGAAGCACTCTGTCATTTTGTTTTATCAATCAGCACCCTGGTATATGATAATCAAGTCAAGTCAGGGCTGCACTTTATTCATCCATTGGGGACCAAATCTTCAGTGAAAAAGCATCATCACTTTTGCTTGAGTGTATATAATTATATATATATATATATATGTATAATTAAAATGGACTTCAAGCTATGACTTTTGGCAAAAGAAGCAACGATATTGAAGAGCGAGAACGTGAAAAGGAAATAGAAACCAGAGCATTAATTCAGTGAGGTTGTATATTGATTCATGTAATAGTTGTTCCTTGAAAACCAATAACTAATCAGCAGAATGTACCGCAGATTTTTGGAAAGCTGTGATGTGAGCATAAAAAGGTCTAAAGTGATTGCCGGGGACAGAAGTGGAAGTGGAACGAGAGTAAGCGTGGGGTGTTGGGTGCATCAAATAAGAATGAGTCAAACAGATCGTCACATGACCCAATGTGTTAGTTGACAATACAATCAAAAAATGTGTCACTTACATCTTCATCAGCATCACAAATCCACCAAATCCTCGTCAGGACTTTAGCTATCGAACAAATTCTTTCTTACTAGACCCTCGCAAAGAGTACGCAAAGAAAAATAACAGTTACGCTTAGATAGAGGGTCGGTTCTTCGCCCCAGCTAGCGTCCTCGTTTAAAACGCCGAATACCAAGAGAGAGACCTTTTGGTAGCACCATCCTGTGCAGCGTTATACATTTTGTCTCTAAACTATGCATTGATAATGCTATAGTGCCACCGAGAATAGACCTAACGTGTTCTCCCAGTGACTAAAGCGACTCCAATAAGAACAAGGAATATTTAGTTACATGAAATTTGAAACTCGACTAATCTTGCGAGCATGGATAATCAAAACATCAATGTACGCATAACATGAATACGAGATCATCGTGTTCCGGTTTCGGGGACACTCGTGAATAACACTGGTAGCCAACGTTCTTTCGTTCCTCTTGCGCATAAAGTTTTTTACGTTAAACGACTGTCATCATTTGTTCGTATGATACAGTTTCGATTGGACATGACGATTGTGCTTATTCCCATTGGATTGATTGAATGAAGCAGCTGTGACAACAACAATGAGTAGTGTTTCTCGGTCACTGTTTGCTTTTACAAGTTACTGACATTGCGGTATCTCCATGCGCATACTACTGAGCGCATATGATAGTGGATCCTGTTTTCCCTGAAACTAACCCAAATATTTGCGAACAACTATTTATTTGCTCTGATCAAATGACTACATACTTGATGGTAGAGATTGGTTCCGTTATGTTTATACGTTATTCGGCCTTTACTCCAACCCTTATAACGACGTTTCGCTTAGTTAACTGCATCCGGCTGTATTAACCACGGTTTCGCTCATTGACTGATTTCTGGACATAGAAAAACAGTTGAGGGTCGTCTTAAATGTCAAAGCGGCCTTGGAGTCAAACGACGCGGCACACCTCTTGAATTGTTTGCCATGAAGGGGAGTACCGGGAAATCGCGTGAACACCCACTCTACACCTGCACATCTTACTGTCCAGTGGTTATGATGATATCTTGATTTTCTTCACCATTACTGATGATATACGATAAATAAACCCGGCACTTTCCTGTTGCTATTGAACGTCGTAGTGAATGATATTTTTGGAAGGTGAGCTAAATGAAGTAACCAAGTGTGAGGAACTACTTCCGGTGGACGGACCTTGACACACAGAATACGGACATTGAGGGTATCCGTAGCCTTAGCCTGTATCTTGCACAAATAAGAAATTTGATTACACCTCGGTATGACTTTTGCACCATCATCATCATCATCATCATCATCATCATCATCATCATCATCATCATCAATGTGGTGTATGACATGATGGTTAGATCGCTCATTTAGCTAACCCTTTGTAGTTGGAAGGAATGTTTATCAACTTAGTGGGCTGTTTTACTATAAGCGATCTGTTAGAGGTGAGTTCCGCACGTATCAATATTTTTTGAGAGACCCACACCATTTACGAATAATCTTTCTGAGTTTCGTCAAACATCAGTTGGTGCTGTTTTTTAACAGACTTTCAAACTGGTGTCTGTGGTGTTGTTGGTGTCGTCCTCGGTTTTTGTTGCAATCTGTTGACAAAATATTGAAAATTGGTCCTCTCGACTCGGGTGAGCTGAATTCCATTTCACCTGTTTGCCGAGTTTGGCAATTTGTTTGCAAACGTTTCATCATCAGTCGAGGTGATGTCATCACTTCATCGCTTGACAAGCAATGATGATATCACCTCGGCCGGTGATGAAACGTTTGCAAACAAATTGCCAAGCTCGGTGAACAGGCGAAATGGAATTTTGTGCAATCTACTGATCATAGTAACATTTCTGTTTGACTTGAAATCCGAGAACGTAATCACTTACCTACTGTGACTTCGATCATTAACAATCTGTACTGATCACAATGTGCCTTGATTGTATTCTAGAATTGTCAAGAGGATTAAGACAAAACCTCTTCTAACTCACGCGTTATTCCGAGGTCATAACAGCTGAGGTTGTAGTGTCGCTCCTTATGTAACAATGTGTCGTCTACTGCTTTCCGTACCTTTCCTCCGGTATATGATGTCGTATAAATTCACAAATAGAAAAATAACACTTACCTATGACAATGCTAACGTTTGAGTTCCAGACTGTACTCAGAATGAAATTCAGTTACCGTCCTGTTTTCCGAGAGAAACTTTGAACATTTCCCCTGTATTTGGTTCCCGATCTTTGGCAACAGTTATCGACTCTGGGTCCCCCAAGATAAACAATACGGATTGCTTCAAACCAACGGAAATTGGACTGGACTGGTCAAAGATTTGTTACTAAAGGTTAGTTAGTAGTCATCATCCTTGATCATTAATTATTCGTTTCGTTTTATAAGCTATACCACTTGACGATCATCTGATATGCTAGCGTATGAATCATTGTTTTCTACAGTTTATTTAACAAATTCCGTGTGCATCCTTGTCGGTAAATAATGACGATGCCATTACTTAAAACGTTCCTCTTTTATTGGTGAGTCTCATTTTGGTTAAAGTTATTCTTTCTAACTCACCAAGAGGATCCCTTCATCAACCGCATCTGTCAGCTGTACGTGAAGAAACCAAGCTGATACGAGTAAGATTGGTCAGAATAGAAACATGTATACATTTTGCTGGGCATTTAACTGTCCGCGAATCACTTCAACCATGCAAATTGTGCTCACAAACACTCGAGCAAAGTGGAAATCTACTCGCAAAATCTGCTATTTTTCTGATGAAGTCGGTCGTGAGATAAATAAACGTGATAGATTGACATTACATCCCTCAGTGGAATTTGTCTACGTGTCAGGTGGCTGGAGTTTCACCACTTGTTTTATTTTAAATGCTAAGCTTCGAACAATAAAAAAGAGCTTGACACTGGCTTTGAACTACTACAAAGCAGGCAACATCAACGTTTGCATTGAGTCGCACAATTGAATTGAAATCCAATTATCGACGAAGTTCTACATAGCACTTTTTCGAGATTTTCAACTTCTCTGCTGGATTCTGTTTACAAGACCGATGGTGATCCTGTGATACATATTTATTTGTTTTGATAAGTAGACAAAATGTCTGAGTAGCAATAGTTGCATTTCCTGAAGCGAAACTCGGACGTGTCTTTCTTAATACTCATGTCGATATAACACCCCGGGAGAGGTACTTGTAATAGGGAAGGTTTTGCCTGAAAGACGACTTACTTGATGCGTCTTATGGGACATATGGGACGTCTGCCCCGTAATCCAAGCATATACTGCACATGGAAAATTGAGGGTATCATTAATTCTGAAATCAGTTTTGTGGCGAGTCCACGTGTTACCGGTATGCACGTTACAAGTTGACGGGAAGTCCTAGCGGGTTCCACAATTGGGTTATTCTTGGGAAACAAAAGATTAGTAAAAGAAAATCAAATGTGCCCAAGCTGAGTAAAGTCACCTTAAATGGATGAATAGTCGCTTGGACCTGGTCCCCTTAAGGAAGACCGGGTGGAGGCAAAGAATTTAGTTAGGTTGAATGGAAATCAGCATAGTACAGGTAGCATAAGGATGAGGAATTACCTACTTTAGAATAAACTTCTGAGTATACTGTGAATGTTATCAGGGAGTTTGTACCCAATCAATAGCAGTTAGAAAAGTGGAAGAAGCTCCAGCCCCGACACATGACTGCAGTATGCAAGTTTACAGTGAAAATGAGTTTTTTCAAGTGAGATTAGGTCAATAGGGCTGAAAGAAATGTCCGGCGTGGAAGAGAGAACTAATTTTCCGCCTAGTGTGAGAGGTAAGTAAAGAAATAAAGCGTAACCAAAAAACAGAGAAGATGAGAATAGACCAAATAAATTGCCTGAACCTGTAGAACGGAAAGTGTTTGATTCAAAATTTAATATGGCGGGAGGAAGATTCATGCATAGGTGGAATGGGCATTGAAGTTGTTCACGATTGCGACGGCCTAAGCAGAAGTATAACCAAAATCGAATTTTAAGGAGGATACTGAGAGAGGAGTGGTCATCAATATAGTGGCGTGTGAAGACCAATGGGACGACGAAGAGTGTATGGAGCGTCAACGTCAAACGCACTAATAGAATGAAAGAATATAGCAAGAAGATCATCAATGAACATTCGAAAAAGTGATGGGGACAGTACAGAGCCCTGTGGGATACCAGAATTCATAGGCAGTAAACGAGAAAATATCCTATAGACTCGAAAGGAGATGTTGCGGTTGTAGAGATAGCTTCCTGTTCAGGTTACAAGCTCCGAGGGATAGCCAAACTCGGGTAGTTTAGCCAGACGACCTGTGGGCCAGATACGATCAAAGCTTTCCCTATATTTGGCCGCACCGCATGGGCTCTGCGCAGTTGTCGGCTGCTACTGAGCATGTATGCTAAATGAACGCCCGAAGATCACCGATTGATAGAAAGTACTGGAAACTGTACTTACAGGCCACCAAGCGTTTGGTTCTACTTCAGGTGACGACGGAATGGATCAGCAATGACTGATGTAATAGCCTTCGAGATAAATGATGTGCGCGCGAGAGAGAGAGAGAGAGAGTGAGGGAGGTATTGGGGTGCGAGTAGTCGGTACGTGTGGAAGCGGATAATATTTTGATGGGATTGGGAAAGCCCCAGATTTAAGGAATAGAAAGAATGAGTGGTGAACCCGGAGTCTAGGGTGCATACTGTGAGGATGATTGGTGGAATTTCCTTCTGTTTTCAGACGTTTTGTAGGTCTAGTGTCTACATGATTAGTCTTATTCTTAAACCGGAAACAAACGATGTCAAAATTGGTCTTCTGTGGGGGCATGTGCAGGGTTGAGTGGATAAATCACGTAGAGTACAGTTAGTAGCAGATTATAGGGCACATATTTCGAATTTTTCAAGTGAATCTCACTGTAAATTGTCAGATGGCCTCGCACGGGATAAGAAGTGGATACGGCAGAAATCATCAACGAGGTGGTAGTGTGAAGGAGCGTAGAAAAAGTTGTTCAACAGAAATGTAACAGGGTATTAACGATAAACGGCGGTCAGGTGCAAACTTCCGCAACTACAAGAAATGCCAAAATATTCCCGGGTGTCCCAGATAAATCTTGTAAAAGAATGCAGAAGGATGCAGTGGTAGCGATCTACAGTTTGGCAATACATATCGAAATTAGTTAGAATGAAACCTCAATTCAGACGAAATGCTGAATAAAAATATCATAAATTTAGATTACGTGGAGAAAGAACACAATGACCTGAAAATGCTGAGGCCACTTTGCTTGATCAACTTGTTTCCGTATTCGTAATTTCTTCACCAACGTGTCCATTTCAGACTGCGTTCGATACTGAATTTTAATTTTCGCAGATAAATCGGAGATAAAATTAAAAAGGATAAAGCACATTCAGACCATGGCTAATAATAATACTCATCCCACGATGAGGACTGGAAACGGAGAGCCCACATTCCTGTTTCCAGGATGATAATATTTTACCGTAAATTCCTCGGAAGCATTGTCATTATACCACCTATTTAGTCCCCTGTTTGTTACAAAAGATTAACCACGATCGACATTTGAATGACGTATGCCGAATGTGAATAAAGTTCAAACGAATACCTTTGCCAGAGGTCACGTAGCTTTTATTGCATCTCGTAGTACTCTGAAGTTTGTGAACGCTGTCCACCCGAAGGCTATGGAAAGACTTGTGCGACAACCAGGCCGGTTGATTGAGGTTCTCACCGTTATGACGAGCAACAGGGCACAAAACACGTCGAATGTCTACTTGCTTACAAAGTTGGCGGAATTACTGAAATGTTTGGTATGATTAAGGCCGAACAAAGAGTCTTCTCTCAGCCGAACAGTAGCATACAGTACACTATTCAAAACTTGGAAGAACATCGGGTATAGACAATTTCTGCCACACGCCCTCTTCGATATTTTCCACCAAATTTTGTTTCATACTGAGGTCATTAGTATTGTTCTGGGTGCAAGTGATTGAAATTCAACGGCAAATCCCACTACCTTCGACTGGAAAGTGATTAGACAATGCGAAAAATCCACCATGAGAAAGCAATGTTTCACAAATTTTATTGTCTTTTTATTTGGACCGTTCCGGCACCCATGGGGAAGATCTGGAGAACGAAACTCGAATACGAAAGGGCGTCGACAGCAGATTAGATCAAAGAGACCATTTGGAAAACTCACAATTCTCACAATGAAAATGATTCATTTTATCCCCTTGGACAGGGTATGCGTGAGTCACTTCGGCGAAGTACTGGGAATGTTCAATCGTTCCCATTCGATTAGAGTTTACTTATTTTTCAGTTGTTGATATGCTTTGACATGATGTTTTCCGCGTGCGTTTTTGTGTGTGGCGATCAGCTAAATGCTCTTGACGGTTGTTTCATCGCCTTTTGGGACCTTATCGCTACCAGTAAGGCCGACGACAAAAATGCTCATTCTATGCAACCTGGATGGTGTTCCTGGTTCATTGAAAAAGCGGATGAACTGGTATTCCGAAACAGTCAACCGACACACCAACTGGGGACAAGTTCCACTTCCAGCTCCAATGTGTTGTCACCCAGATTCTTAAGCAAACGAGTCTGGGGGAAGAGAAAATAGGATTGAAATCTTTGTGATGACCGACAAAGAGCACTGGACACCTGTTCCATCTTGTTTGAGACTATAGTCATTAGTGCTCACGTTTTGTGTGTCTGATGCCAGTGAAAATCTGAATGGCTTCATTCAAAAATTGACCTTCTAAAAAGAGAGAATAATCAAAGTCAATTCACGTCAACAAACGCTTGATGCATACAAAGGGTGAATATTCAGCAATTTACGTACTTGTGGGATGGATCTATAAAATAAATTTCGATAAAAAATAGCAATATCAATTTATTACTTTAGTAAAAGAAAAAATAAATAATGCAAGAGTCTTTTCCTAAGGCGAATGGCAATGGTCTTTTGATTAACCAAAATCCGAGTCAGTTTCAAACTTCCATCGTTTCTTTCTGTGGAAATAAGGACATGAACAATATTGAACTGTGCAACGGATGCGGGAATTCGATAAAACTTTCAAGGAATGTAGAAAGTGCCTTTTATCACGTGTTATTCTGTCAATAAAGGTATCACTAGCGTCAAAATGCTTGAAAACGATAAATAAACTGAAACAACTTCATTGATTCCACTGCATCGGGACAGAAGATTAAGGGATCTGGAAAACCAAGTGAAACCTATTTCTTTAAGACCAGAGATAGAACAAGAGTGGAAGGATTCAGGCAATCACGAATTTGAGCATACGAGTATGTTGGACGGCCAGTTTCCAGCGCCTGTGTGCATATTTGAAATTTGTAGAAGCGCTGATAACATGAACAAGTAAGGTCAGGTTATGGATGTGGATATATTAACCATAAGGTTGAGAAGATTAATTAAAAACGGGGGGCCGGTTCAAAGACTAAAGACAGCACTGCTGCACTTGTAGATCTTACGTGCAAGGGCTCGGGGTACAGACCAATGGAAAAGTTCACAAAAGCTGCCTCCTGGGGAAGGTGAATATTCACAGGGCTAGGCTCGAGCAAGCAATCACAATACTGTCAGCATAATTGAAAGCTATGGAGGTGAAGGTCTCTGTGTTGGAGTTTACGCTTTTGGAATAGATATGAAAGGGTTTAAATCGATAACGAGAGTAGGAGTATAGAACGGAAAAACAAATAAGACTGAAAATGTATGTCTGTTTTTTAACTTCACAAACACGTATTCAATTGCTAGTACATTCGTTTTTGTCGCCATGCCCCATACTTTGTCAATTGTCTTATCAACGCCTCATCCCTATTCTGTCCATCAGAGAACCGATCTGATTGCCTCGTCTCTCTCGCCAACAGTGAATCGGTCTGGAGTTGGCCAATTTATTGGCCTACTGGATGATGATGAGATGTGCATGTTGATGGCGACCTCGACCACCACGCGGAACGCTTTCGAATTGCTCAAAGTGTTCCACCCGGTCCCTGTGATGGTTCTCGCCGCAGTCTCGTTCGGGGCCAGTGTACTGGCCTATCTGTTCAATCTGATCAGTCCGTACAGTTCACGTAACCAGAAACACCCGTCGTTGGGTATCTATGAGCTCAGCTTTCCCGAGCACTGCTACATGTTCATGAAAGGCTGTCTCTCACAAAGTAAGTGCACCGTGAACCGTCTAGAGATGTTTACTTTCCCAGTGGATGATTGTTAATTTAGGTGTTTACTGTCCTCTATTCCTATCACTTTTGGGATATCTGACCGGAAAGAAGTCCGTGTTGTGACCAGTGGCAAAGTAGCTTCGTGACGAAAGGTGTCACAAAGTGTAATTTGGTGGTTATATCTCCGTGACCGTGACGAAATAGTGGCGAATGACCATGTTGATAGCCCATAAGAGCTGCATTC